GACACCAAAACAAGCAGCCACTCAGTAACCCCCCACACACACACCCAATCCCCCCTTCCCCCCCTCAGACCTCTATAAATACCCACAAAAGGGTCACATCACCCTGGGCACAGAGAGAACTGCTCGTCTGTGCTCCTGCCCTCTGAAGATGCCGGTCACAGGTGCTGGCGAAACGAAACGTTAGGAAACAAAACTTCCAGAACATGGCCACACAGCCCGGAAGACCCACACCAGTCATTCCCTGGATTCTCTGGAGAGGTCCCTGTATTGTAGGTGAGATTCCGTTGGCTGTTCATCAGCCAGTCAGCAAATATTCTCAGTATTATCAATAAGGACATTTTAATAGCTTATCAGGGCAGTAATAAGAACCAGAATAGCACATCAATATCTCAGCAGGACATTGATATAAAGAGAGCAGCGGCCAAACTAGGCTAAGGATCACTGCGGAGAAAAGGTTCATAGCACCACCAGAGACTATACTGCCTCTTCATTGTGAGTAAATTCTGTCTCTTCTTTTGTCTGGCAGGTGCATATGGCCCTCTTGCTGCAGGGCAAGCACCAGGAGGATACGGCGGTCTGCTAGGCCCTGGACAGCCATTAGGAGGATATAGTAAGTGGCACCACATTTTTGTTCTCCCATCTTTTTTACTCACTTGTTAATATCCTGAAACTGTAATTGGTCTGAAAAATAGAACATCCAGATCTTTGGAATAAGCAATAATTTTTCAAACTCTGTTCTGGGTAATTTCCGAGTCTTTCAATATAAGATGCTTCAGGACTATGTTCTTTAGCATTTTTATACCTCTTTGAAGCAGAAGGAACCACCAGGTAATTTAACAAAAAAAATCATAACAACCAATAACACAATATTAAAGAAAGTATTGTACTTTAAAGTTTTAGGGTAACCACATAAGGGAAGCTCCATGATTATCAGTATGAATCCCCTCTGGAAAAAGCAAGTGTTTGCCACCTAAAGAGAAGCATAAGTATTTATTCAGTGGTATTTCTTAATCCAAGCACTATTGTTGAGAAGACCTGTTTTTTATAGCTATCTTCCACATTTCAGAGCACATGGGCTAAGCCTCTGGTGCTTACCTTAGTTCTTAAGATATCCTATTCTAACCATGTAGGTTCCTACAGATTCAGGCATAATAAGTAAGTAAGTCTATCTAGCCATCCTGGACTCTGCAACCAACTAAAGCCGGTGAAACTGAATGCAAAATCAGAGCACCATGCTCTATTTTTTTTCCTGGATTAAAAGTGTGGGTAGATAGTTCAGAAATAATTGGCTTCCAAACAGTCTTTCAAATGCAGCCTTAAATAGAGCACTTCACAATCAGCTAATCTGGATGTTGCCAAAGTGTGAGTGATAGGACCCAGATCTGATGGCGGACAAGCTACCATTAAAAGCACCTCACTCTTCTGTGACTGGAAAAGATTTGAAATTGTTCTTGGCATGTCACTGGGAGTTCTGTGTGGCCAGGAGATTGAACTAGTACCCAATACAAACCTTGTGTGCTCCAGAACATGGGACAGACATCTCTGTAAATGCCCTGGGCTTTTCTGGAAGGCAAATCCAGAGGGAACAGCTTTCTGAAGACAGGTTCTCTTCCTTGAAGGCTTTCCTACTATTATTGGCTCTCCACAAGATGATACTATTCCACATTATAAGCAGTTTTAGCTAGTTATAACTGCTATAAGGATCCTTTTTTCCTTTCAAGTATTATTTTTAACTGAACAAAAAATAGGATTTCAGGAGCCACAGTGACTTAGCCCTGCTCTTAGCACAACAAAGCATCCATCTTAAGCTTCATGCCTTGGACTGCAGTCCATCATAATTAGCTGTACTTTTATCAGAAAAAAAATCTTGTTCATTCCTACAGTCCAATTATATTTACATTCCACTGCTCAGTCATAATTTCTGATGTAGATCATACCTTTAAGAAAGTACGCAAAAGCAACCATAGTAAATTTTTAAAAAGACAGTATGAGAAATATAACAAAAACCAGTACACTCTGTTGAAATAGTTACAAGGCTTACAGGGCCTTTCTAAAATTTGTTAGAAAGTTTTTCAGTGAGTAAGCCTCACTGAACACAAGAAACTTATGTTGGATTACACTGCACAGGAGGATTTTTGTAATCATAAGCTTATTTTAACATGTTATTTTGGGGAAATTAAAAAATAATGAGGAATTCAAATTTTGTAATCAATGGATCTATTTTAAGTGTAACAGGGTATCTAGGGCATTTCCACATAGCACAGTTTCCATTCAGCAATCTCACCAAATTGCTCTGAATATGGCTATGCAAACTGTCTTCGCAGATTCAGACCTTGAAATGCAATCAGGGCCCTACCCCAAATTACTGTGGGTCCTAGAAGAACTCCCTGCCTCATTTCTATTGCACTGAAAACCATATTGCGATGGTAAAAAGACAGCATATCGGCAAAGTCTCCCAGCATCTGTATCTATGGATGAACATTGCTATAGAGGCAGTTGTTGGGAGGAAAAATACATTCTTAACAAAACAGTACCTGCTGACAGGCACTATGAACAGATCCCTGAAGATTGCCTGTGGGATGGAAGAAAGACCATCCTGCAGCAACAAAATCCCCTCATCATTCCACACAAAAGAGAGAAAGAAATTGCTGGCATAGCTTTGCGCCCCCATTCAGCAAACAGTGGCTTTAAACAACAAATAAAGAAAACACCAGGTTGCTTAGCTGGTAGATCATCTGATGAAGAGTAGGGAAAACAGGCAGACCTCTTATCAGTTCTAATGGACTTTTCCCAAGATAAATTGAAAAGCTGTCTACCCATCCAGGGGTTGGCAGAAAACTATTCTGGCATCCTGCCAATCTCTATCATGTTTCTTGTTCCCAGACACCACCAGTCCTCTGACTTCCCTCCATGGGAATTAGTGGCAAAGTTTAATATATTTGGTACACCTTGAGGCTACCCTTGGACGGAAGCAGAAAATACTTTAACCCTGTTACAGCTAAAGATGGCTTCAGTTTATCATGGGTTGGGGGATGAGATGATGGCAACTTTACAGAGACATAACAGAAAAAAAGATGCTTCCAGGACATGTTTCTGCTATGATCAGATACATGTTGGGAAAGGCTATCAGTATGATTAGGTTGTCTGGATTCATCTTTTGGAGTTCTGTAGTTTGCACACATGCAGATATGAAACAATGGTAAAATTTGTTCACATTAAAGTTTATTAAATGGTAAAATTTTTGCTTAAGATTATATAAAAAAGTGTTGTCAAACAAGAATATGATGTAAGAGGAACAGAAGAATGCATTGTCCAGAGTTAACTCTTTTGGTATCTTTTTTTCTTTGGCTTTAGGAGGGAAAGAATCAAAGTATGGAATGAATGGATACCTGGGAAATGGCTATAGAGGTAAGATAAAAAAGGTGAAATACAGGTAGTCCTTGCTTAAGGACCATTCATTTAGCGATGGTTCAAATTTATGACAGCCTCAGAAGGAGTGCTTTATGGCCTGTAAAGCACTTCTGACCATCGTAAAATGTTGCACCGCCCCCACCCACCCCCACAGTCACGTGGCCGCATTTTGGGTGCTTGGCAATTGGTTCACATTTACGACCTGATGCCAAGCACCCCGTGATCATGTGATGCCATTTGCAGTCTTCTCTGCCAGCTTCCCCAGAAAGTCAATGGAGAAGGTAGCAGAGAAGCCTGCAAGCGGAGGGGATGGAGGGGAGCTGAAATCATTCTGCAGTCTGCAGGAACAAAGCTCAAATCCTGAAGATCTGAGCTCCATTCCTCCAGCCCTGCAAAGGATTTCCCCTCTGTGCGCAGAGGGGAGGGCAAACCCTTTGATGGGCTGCAGGAATGTTTGAGAGTGAAAAGGCTGCCTGCTGGGAGGATTTCAGCTCCATGTGGAGCTGAAATCCTTCAGCAGGCAGCCCTTTCACTCCGTCTGCTTTATGACCCAGGAGATCACTTAACAACCACAACCGGGAGTGTCTGGATTGCAATTGTTGAGCGAAGCAGTCACATGGGCATCTCACTTAATGACCACTTCCCTCAACAATTGAGATTCCACTCCCAGTTGTGGTCATTAAGTGAGGACTGCCTGTACATATCTTCTGTTATGCTGATTTTCTGCTCACCTTCATACCTGCATCAACCAGAACATGTATATTTGTCCACATTTCTAGGCATTTCTGTAAAATTAAAAGTTCCACAAAATTATCAGTAGTTATATCTAAACATTTGCTAGGTTCACAAGCCATGTTTTTTTTTATTTATCTTGTGGGTGAACTGTTGTGGCTTGCAGACCATGTGTGAACCTAGCCACTGTGACATAATCAACAAACCATGGTTAAAACAAACCATAACAGCATATTGTGTTAACCCAATCATTGTCTTTCATGAAGGCTCTGGGATTTCAGCTTATATGAAAAGGATTAGAGATCCCTAACAGAAATCTGAACATACTTACAGTTATAGGTTTCAGCATCATTTGAAGGAAGTAATGACAAATATATTATTACCTACCTACCTGTTTAAAACAATATTGTATTTGTGCTTTTGGCTATTTTGGTTTTTTAAAAAAAACTGTGCTGGGTTATTATGTGGTTTGAGGAAGATATACAAGGAAGGTGAATAATTTTTGAATGTTGGGAAAGTGGCTTCCTAGCTAATCATTTGGGGAATGGGACAGACATTTCCAAAACCATCTCATGCTGTCTTGCAGTCAGTCTCTGTAAATGGCAATGCTGGAATATGAAATAATGGCTGCCTTTATCTTCACTCTCCTTTCTAGTTCGCTGCCCTTCTGGAAAATGCTGAAAGACAATACTGCTCTATGGAACTTCTTATAGCAAGATCTGGCATCTGGACAATCTTTGGTGCTAATTTTGAAGACCAACAACTAAGTTTTCCCATATAAATGATTGTGTCTTTTTCCTTCTGTGTAGTTTATTTTGTCATTAGAAATGTTTCATTTTAAAAAAGAATGAAGAACATTGCATGTTAGTTTTTAAAGCTTTGGACAACCATATTTTCCAAGAGCTCATAGTATGTCTGTGACCAGTACTACATAAAGAATGTGAGAAGCTAGAAAATGCTTTTGTTTTTTTTCCCCAAGACATACCTTATGAATTCAACAAATTAGGAAGCTGTCTAGAGATGTTTTTCATTTAATTATGTTTCTGGAGGCCCAGACACCAATGTCTTTTCACGTAAAAATAAATCCACCATTCTCAATGTCTTGCATATTTGTGGTATCCTTGATCACAAAAACTAGCCTTGTATTATTTATGTACAGTATTTCTCAAAAATCCCATTTAAATATCCTTCCATTGCTGTGAGTTTCCATAAATATATAAATATATCTTATCAGACTAAAAGCTTACTGCTTAATTTCCCCAACATCTTCTAGATGATAGATGTGATATAGTATATTATTTCTGAACATGGCATTTTGATCCTTTTTCTCATGCTAAATTGATGCTATAGGATAATCTAGACATTGATTTAGAAAATAAGTTGTTATACTGAAAATATGGATGGATGTTGGGATCTTTACTTAAGATCAATTATTATATAAGTTTGTATCATTTCTTACATTAAAGGATAAATATTATTTGCCTGTTGCTGGCCACTGGCAATATTTATATCTATTGCCATCTTGGACCATTAGCATCTTCAGCTTCAGAGACACCTAAATGATTAGAAGTGATCACTGAATCTTATGAGATCAACAAACCCATAATTAGTCTTTGTTATGGATAAATCAATTTGATATGCAAATTTTAACAAGGGATTGGAGACCCTACTTCATCTAAACAATAGGAAACTGTCTTAACCTCTGTATCAAAAATTTCAATAGATCTAGATTACAGCTTATTCACAAAAATAATATTTCGTACTTATTGTACCCCGCTGTATTTGTATAGGAAAGGAATCAGTAAATCATCGTGTTTTTGGAGATGCAATGAAAGTAATACTTCATTAAAACAGGTTTTTGTAATGTCCTAAAACTGTTATTGAGTCTGAGACAGGGTTTAATATTTTCAGACAGCTATATTCTTTTGATCAATATTCCTATTATATGGCAATTGATGGCTTGACAACACAAATAGATATCCCATGCCTTTCTTCTTGCTAGGAGACTTGTCATTCAACACTGGAAAGATACATTTATATACACATTTATATTGCTTACACCAACTCAGTTTATCACTATGAGCCACCCCGCACAAAAGGAAAGATTTTGCAGACAACTGACATAACAACTGAGATAATTATGGAAGAGAACAATCTAGAAAAATAAAATTTTGAAGTGAAATAGTATAGTAAATGTTTGCAGCTACTTTAGTCCACTAGGTTGCAAACTTTTAATATTTTTTTCAAAAGTTTTGTAGGACTTTTTGCAGACTGTGTTTTATTAATATTTTATTGAAATTTTAAAATTACAAAGTTAAAAGTTAGAAATC